GAAGTTGGACGCTCAACCGACCGAGCCACCCAGGCGCCCCCCAATTTTTTTTTCTTAAAGAAAACCTTTAAGGTAGGGGGAAGCAATGACATATATCCCAGCACTTCAATCACACTGGGTACTTAAGAGTGAAAGACGAAGTAAACTGAAGATCCATTTCACATTTAGGTTATAAGACCATTTCTTGGATTTTATAGACTGTAAGTCACGTCCTAATTTAAGTCCACGGGGTCAGCGATGCCATGTGTCTGCCTGACTCCCTGAAGATGAATTCCCAGCCTCCTGGTCCCTGGTGGGAGGATTCTGATGCGGGTAGGGGGGTATTGCACACTCTTAGAATCGCCGGACGGACTCCCCATTGCCCATGACAGGGACCTGCTCGTTGACCCCCTGGGCCGGCTCACCTCCCCGCTTCATTCCCGGTATGGCCTCACAGATGATCCTCCCCTCGCCTGGGGTCCGCTTCGGGGAGGAACCAGCCCCGCGCCCCTTCTCCGTCCGGGGCTCAGTGAAGAGCGAGTCGTCTCCCCCACTTGCAGCTGAAGCCCCACGTCCGCCTTTCCGTCTTCCTCTCTCCAGCTCCTTTCAGTGCCTCTCGGTCTGTCTTCCTCGCTTGGAGACCCAGACCCAGCGCCAGGACCCGGGGACGGCGCTGGCTCCTCCCGGCCGCAGGGGGCGCTGTGGGGCCGGGCCGGGCGCGAGTCCCAGCGTGCACCGCGCGGGGGCTGGGCCTGCGGGGCTGGGCGGAGCTGGAGGCCGTGCGCCCGAGGAGGTTCCGCGGGGCCGCCCGGGAACTTAGCGTCCCCGCGGGGCCGCGGGCCGGGAGGGACCGTAAAGGGCCATGGCCGAGCCGGCTCCGGTAAGAAAGGCTCCGTGCGCGGACTCCCAGTTTCGGGGCTCGGGGCGGGTCTTCGGGCTCCGGCGTGGCGGGCCTCCATCCGGGGTCCTCGCGGGGTGGCAGCGGAGGACGGGTGGAGCTGCGTCTGTCCGGGTGTAAGGTCCGGACCGTGGACGGAGCCGGTGGCCGCACTCCCGAACAAGCCGAGCGTGGACCAGGCCCACTCAGCAGCGGGCCCTGCCTGGCCGGGGGCGCCCGGGCGTGGCGGGGGCTGACAAGGGAAAAGGAGAGAAATGGGTCTGGTTCCCTTGTGGGTGTCACAGCTCAGCCAGTTTTACATGGCAGTTACTGAATTCAGAACAAGTGTTTAAAAAATTTAAGACTCTGAGTGATTGAAATGATGGCTGGCAGCGGCTTGAATACGATAATTCATCTGCTAACGTTTGAGTGTAAGAAGAAAGGAAGACAGGTCGGAAGGAATAGAATAGGATATAAAAATCTAAGCAGAATACACACTATTTATTTAATGTTTTGTTGCAATCGAGGTTTAGAAGGAATGACCATTTATTATGTTTTTTTTAATACCTTACAAACTTTCATATTGAGCATTTTTTCTTTTTTTTTAATTTTTTTAATGTTTATTGATTATTAAGAGACAGACACAGAAGGTGAGCAGGGGAGGGGTGCAGAGAGGGGGAGACATAGAATCTGAAGTAGGCTCCAGGCTCTGAGCTGTCAGCACAGAGCCCTACGCGGGGCTTGAACTCACAAACTGAGAGATCATGACCTGAGCCAAAGTCGGTCGCTTAACCGAGTCACCCAGGCGCCCCGAGCATTTTTTCTGATCACTAAATGAATTCATGAGGTTATTTCAAAGTAGCGTTAATAGTCTCAGCTAAGAAAGCATAATTCCTAGGATTAAATATTCAAAAGATATGCAACACTTTTATGGAGAAATTATAAATAAATGGGAGATAGCGAGGCCCGTAGATGGAAAGACTAAATACAGTAAAGATGATACTTTTTTTCCAAGTTAATATGTAAATTTACCGCAGTTTTATCAAAATGGCAGTAAGATTTTTGTGAATGTAAACAGATTTTATTTTTTGTTTAAAAAAATTTTTTTAGGGGCGCCTGGGTGGCTCAGTCGGTTAAGCCTCCGACTTCAGCTCAGGTCATGATCTCATGGTTTGTGAGTTTGAGCCCTGTGTAGGGCTCTCTGCTGTCAACACAGAACCTGCTTTGGATCCTCTGCCCTTCCATGCTCGTTCTCTCCCCCCCCCCCCCCCAAATAAATAAACTTTAAAAAATAAAAAAAATAACAGAGAAGACATACACAAGGAGAAAGTATTTGTAACCTAATTTAGTCAACAATTAATCAATATACAAGTTATATAAAGAAATTGTAGAAATGAGCACCTGGGTGGCTCAGTCAGCTGAGCATCTGACTCTTGGTTTTGGCTCAGGTCATGATCTCAGTTTGTGGGATCGAGCCCTGCATCAGGCTCTGCGCTGATGACATGGAGCCTGCTTGGGAATCTCCTTCTCCTCTCTCTGTCCCTCCCCTATTTGTGCTGTCCCTCTCTCTCTCAAAATAAGTAAACCTAAAAAAAAGAAATCCTAGAAATGAAAGCATAAGTCACCCAGTAAAAAGTATAGGTAAAAGATCTGAACAGTCAGTTCAGAAAACTGAAAACAAATGGTCAGTGGATAAAAGAATGGATTAAAAATTGTGACATATTCAGATAATAGAACACGACACAAAATTAAATCAATTCTGTATATATCAATATGGACAGATCTCAAAATGTTGAATGAAAAATCCAAGCTGCAGTATAATAAAGCATTTGTGCATAAAAATTAAAGTAATACTTATTTATAGATACTTATGTGTATTTAAAAATTAAAAACATGAATTGAAAAGTTACTACATGCACATAATGTTCGCTTCTGGGAAGAGAGAATAGGACTGAGTATAAGATATATTGAAGGGGCACCTGGGTGGCTCGATTTGTTGAGCTTACAGCTCTTGACTTTGGCTCGGGTCATGATCTCACGGTTTGTGAGATCGAGCCCCAAGTCGGGCTCTGTGCTGACAGCATGGAGCCTGCTTGGAATTTTCTCTGTGCCCCTTCCCAGTGCCCATGCCCTCTCTCTCAAAATAAATAAACATTTTTAAAAAACAATAGGACACCTGGGTGTCTCAGTCGGTTAAGCAGCTGACTCTTGATTTCAGCTCAGGTCATGATCTCATGGTTTGGGAGACTGAGCCCCACGTTGGGCTCTGCACTGACAGTTGGGAACCTGCTTGAGATTCTCTTTCCCTCTCTACCCCTCCCCCACTCACACATTCCCTCCCTCCCTCCCTCCCTCTCAAAATAAATAAACTTTAATAAATTTTAGAAAGATTTTAAAAATATTGAAGAGGGACTAAAGAGGACTTGAGTTTCATCTGTCATATTCTATTTCATTAAAAGGAAGTCTGAAGAAAAATGTTGAATTCTTAAATCAGTAGTATACTGATAACAACCCAGGATACTTGTTATAATGTTCTAATTTTCTGAATCTTTAACTTCTGAAAATTAAACTAATAATGAAGGCTTTTTGAGCATTTCTTGAAAACATTTTTTTAAACGTTTATTTATTTATTTATTTTTTTTATTAATTTTTTTTTTTCAGCGTTTATTTATTTTTGGGACAGAGAGAGACAGAGCATGAACGGGGGAGGGGCAGAGAGAGAGGGAGACACAGAATCGGAAACAGGCTCCAGGCTCTGAGCCATCAGCCCAGAGCCCGACGCGGGGCTCGAACTCACGGACCGCGAGATCGTGACCTGGCTGAAGTCGGACGCTTAACCGACTGCGCCACCCAGGCGCCCCACGTTTATTTATTTTTGAGACAGAGAGAGACAGAGCATGAACAGGGAGGGGCAGAGAGAGAGGGAGACACAGAATCTGAAAGAGGCTCCAGGCTCTGAGCGGTCAGCACAGAGCCCGACGCGGGGCTCAAACTCATGGACTGTGAGATCATGACCTGAGCCAAAGTCGGATGCTTAACCGACCGAGCCACCCAGGCGCCCCGAAAACATTTTTAAAGTAAGGAATTTAATCAGAGGAGAATAAGTATATTTTAAACAAAAACATGCATTCATTTCTGCTATAACACATCACATGCATTTCTAAAAATCACAGTGCAATGCAAAATCATGTAGTAAAAACCATAGCTTACCGGAGGAATGGTGTTTAGATACACAACATTCAAAAAGTTTGTCAGTGACATGTTGAAAAGATAGGAACCTAGTAAAAACACACTTTTATGCATGTTAAATTATTAACAAAATAAACTAGCTTAAAAACTACCTGAAATTTGCTTATGGAAGTGGGTGTAAGAAGGGGCAGTGAGGTGGAAGGACCATTACCCGAAGTCAGACAGAAAGTTTCAACACCAGGTTTGGAGACGTTGGGCTCATAAAACAGGGTAATCTGAGGAAGCTGGTGGATTCTTCTCGAAGGGTATGCGCGGGCGTGTTTTGTATATTCCTTCTCATCTCTCTGTGGCAGCCTGGCACGGTTCCTTCCCCTCACCACTGCTGTTATTCTGTAACTGGCTAGTTTGTCTTGTAGGGGGCTGTCTCGTGCTCTGTGGGATGTTTACCAGTATCCACGACATGCAAGTAGCAGCTTGCCCAGTCCTGACAAAAGCGTCCCCAGACATTGCCAAACGTCCTCTGGGGTGTAAAATTGTCCTCATGTGGAACTGACCTAGAGTTTCTCACTGACAAACTTGCATATAAGCAAGTGTAAAATTTTGTGACAAATTATTTTTGTTTCAATTTTTTTTTAATGTTTGTTTTTGAGAGAGAAAGCGTGAGCAGATGGGGCAGAGAGACAGAGACAGAGACAAGAGACAGAATCCGAAGCAGGCTCCAGGCCCCGTGCAGTCAGCACAGAGCCTGACTTGGGGCTCGGACTCACGAGCTGTGAGATCATGACCTGAGCTGAAGTCAAACGCCCAGCCTACTGAGCCACCCAGTCACCCAATATCAATCATGTTAGGGCAAATTCACAATTTAAAAACATAGCAGAAATGACTGTTTCATTAAACTTAATGAATTTCTGATATAAATGTAAAGGAGTTATTACATTTTTTTAAAAACGTAAATCTTAGCTTCATATTCCATATAATGAAAAGATGAATAAAAATAAAAGTTGAAACAAACTGTACTTTAATACCCATAGGAAGTAAACACATATGGCAAAACATTGGGAGTTAAAACTGATGTAAAGAAGACAATAGGGGGAGCCTTGGTGGCCCAGTTGGTTGAGTTCTGACTCTTGGTTTCACCTCAGGTCATGATCTCGCAGTTTTGTGAGTTCCAGCCCCATGTCAGGCTCTGTGCTGACAGTGGGGAGCTATTTGGGATTCTCTCTCCCTCTGCCCCTTCCCTGCTTGCATTCTCTCTGTGTCTCTCAAAATAGATAAATTTTTAAAAAACTTAAAAAAGAAAGCAATAGGGGCTCCTGGCTGGCTCAGTCAGTAGGGCATGTGACTCTTGATCTCAGGGTTGTGGCTCAAGCCCCACGTTGGGTGTAGAGATTACCTAAAACGAAAAAAAAAATCTTAAATATAATTTGAAAAAGAGAGAAAAGGAAACCATAAAAGAATGTGCATTTAATGTAAATTACTTTAACAAATATATAATTTACATGCTTCTAGTTATAAACCTTAGACAGATGCATGCTATCACCACTCTTATTCAACATCATTCCAACCAATACAATAAGAAAAATAAGAAATGATAGGCTTAAATGGTTAAAAGAAATGTTAATTTGCAGATCTCGTTCTCAACACAGACACTCCAAGGCAGTCAACTAAAGTGTTAGCCAACAAGGAAATTAGCTTCCCAACCTTTCATAATTAGAAATTTTAGTGGGGGGAAAAAAGAACCCAAAACATGGTAGCAACAAAAACTGTACCATCCCTAGAAATGAACCTGTTGAGAATTATGTAAAATCTACATGAAGAAAACTAATTTTACTAAAGCACATAAAATGTCTAGAAAAATGAGAGATGTTTCTGCGTGGAAAGAAGCCATATTTTAGAGGTCCATTTCTCCCCAAATTAATATATTAAGCATATTCGTATCAGAATCCCATGAGAATTTGTATAAATTTGACAAAATATCTTTACTATTTATGTAGAAGAGAAAACAGACAAGAAAAGCCAAGACGTTTTCCTATGGGAAATGATGGAGGTTAGTGGTAGATGGCCATGCCCCCTTAAAAAGCAAAATATCTAGGGGCGCCTGGGTGGCTCAGTCGGTTAAGCGTCCGACTTGGCTCAGGTCATGATCTGACAGTCCGTGAGTTCGAGCCCCACGTCGGGCTCTGTGCTGACAGCTTGGAGCCTGGAGCCTGTTTCAGATTCTGTGTCTCCCTCTCTCTGACCCTTCCCCGTTCATGCTCTGTCTCTCTCTGTCTCAAAAATAAATAAAGGTTAAAAAAAATTTTTTTTTTAAAAGCAAAATATCTGATAAAACTATAAGAATTATACTGCAGTATTGGAGCAAAAAAGGACAAATGGAAGTATAAATGGAGTATAAATGCCAACTATAAATGGAAGCCTAATTAATGAAAAACAATCCCAAATCAATGGTGAAAGAATAGACTGTTGAGTAAGTTTTGTGATAACTGAAAATCCACCTGGAAAAAGAATTATGTTCCTTCCTGTTATGTTACACATAAATAAGTTCCAGATGGAAAACGGTTTAAGTCTAATAAAAGTTATAAGAATGTTATGAAGAATTTAAGAGAATATTTTATAATTTTAGAATAGGAAAAGTCTTCCAAATCAAGATACTAAACCCTAAAGCCACAAAAGAGGTTCTCCTGAAAACTATAATAATATAAGAGAAAAGCAGTGTAGAAGATGGAGAAATTATCTTTATTTGAGAATTTTTATTGTATCCCACCATAAAGTTAATAGGATTGATAAATAATATGACACATTAATTGGATACACAGTAAGTTTACAAAAATCAGTAACTTTTTAAAAAACTATTAATAATAAATTGAAATGGCACCCCAAAAGGGGTGGTCTCATTTACAATTGTTGGAAAGACCACAGAATACCAGAAATAAAGTTAATAAAAAAGACTCAGAACATTTATGAAGAAAATAATTAAGTTTATTAAGGATAGCAAGCTGGACCAAATGAATGCAGAACATGTTTCTAGATGAGATCAATCTTTCCTAAATACATATATACAGTTAATGCAGTCCAGACTGGAATTCCAATGCACTTTTTTGTTGTTGTTGTTGGACTAAATAGTTTTGGAGTTTATAAGGAAGGATACATATCTACGAATTCACAGCAGTAACTTTGAAAAGAATGTGAGGAGAGGGTAAGACTTACCATCCCATTATTACAATATTGCATAGGTACTGTAATCAGACACATATAGAAAGTGTAAGAGAATATATAGATTCACATATTTATGAAAATCTAATACATGCAAAGATTAAAGGTTGGCATTCCAATCTAAGGAGAAAGGATAGTATACTTACTGGTGTGTGATTGGCTCTCCATATGTATCTATTAAAGATGCCAATCTCATCTGTAGAATTTTCTTTGATTTTTACTAAAAATATTAACTTATTTTGAGAGAGAAAGAGATTATGTGAGCAGGGGAGGGGCAGAGAGAGAGGGAGAGAGAGAATCCCAAGCAGGCTCCCCACTGAGCCTGATGCAGGGCTCCATCTCGCAAACTGTGAGATCATGACCTGAGCCAAAATCAAGAGCCAGAAGCTCAACTGACTGAGCCACCCAGGTGCCCCTCATCTATAGAATTAAATTGCAAATCTAAGGGCAAAAAATATTAGTAGAATATTTGTATAACTTTTTGGTGTGGGGGACACTTAAAAAGCTGGAAACTATGGGGGCACCTGGGTGGCTCAGTCTCACATCTCTCTCTCAAAATAAACCTTTAAAAAATTAAAAAACAAACCTGGAAACCATGGAAAGGACTGACAGATCAATTAAAGACTCAAAATGCTCTATTTGGCAGAAGATAAAATCAAAATACAAACGACTGGGGGAGAAAATGTTTGCTAGTCAATCAAAGAATGATTCACCCTGATATAAAGAAGTTCATTCAAATTATAGGAGTCCACAAGAATGTTGAGCAAAGGATGTGAACAGACATGTACAAAGATACTGGAACATCCTCCACACCCGAAAAGTATGAAAAGGATGTTAAGCCTCACAAATGAATGCAAATTAAAACAAGGAAATTTTTTACCCATTGCACTGGCAAAAAAAAAATAATAAAGGTTTAAAACCATGCTGTGCTGATGAAGGTGCAAAGAAATAAGTCTCATCTTATTAGCAAAAGGGCAAAAGTGCTGGATTTTTTTTGGAAGGCAGTCTAGTGGTATTTATTAAACTGAACATTTTTATACCTTTTGATTTAGTAGTTCTCCTTTTTAGGCTTTATCTTACAGTGGTAAAAGCACTAGTATATCAGGAAGCATATCAGAGCATTGTTTGTAATTTATAAAGGAAATGGAAACCATATGTCCCATTCATGGGGTATGTGTGCCCACACAATGGAATATAATGCAGTTTGCAAAAACCTGGTTTTGCCTATACACACTGACCTGGAAAAACACCTGACATATTAAGTGAATGAAGTTACACAGTGTTTTATTCCCTCTTTTGTTTTTAAAAGAAGAAAAATATCCTATACAAATGCATATGTAGCTTGAACAACCATAAAGAACCACGTAAGGTATGGTGGTTAACAGAACCACATGGTTGGAGTAGGGGGAGGAGCAGTTCTCAAGGAGGAAGCTGCTGAATACACAAGAACAGGATCCTCTAAAAAAGTCTTTTAAATTGATGAAAAGGAGGGGCACCTGGTTGGCCAGTGGGTAAAGCGGGTGATTCTTGATCTCAGGGTTGTGAGTTCGAGCTCCACGTTGAGGGTAGAGTTTACTTAAGAAAGAAAAACATTGATGAGAAGGAGCCGAAATCATTTTGAAGCAATAATGACTGTGTATGTATTATGTCTGTAATTTCAGTTACCTCTGACTTTTGAAGATGTTGCCATTTATTTCTCTGAACAAGAATGGCAGAATCTGGAGGCATGGCAGAAGGAGCTTTACAAGCATGTAATGAGAACCAATTATGAGATTCTTGTTTCTCTAGGTAAGAAGTGCTTGATTTTGTGGGTAGATCCTGGAAATGGGCCTGAAAGAGGTCTTGGCCACTTGAGTTTCCTGTTTGTTAGGTGGCCAGATTTCTCAGAAATTAACTCAGAAATGTATTTTTGTTTTACCCTAAAGTCATATGTTAAATACACCAGGACTCGGGACTTTTAGTTGCTACACAGTCATAGGGTGCCATGATTTCCATATTGGAGCACTCCTAGCTCCTATCCATAATGTACCCATATTATTTTTAATATGGGTAGTGTCCCTACTTGTCAGCTTTTACAGTGGGGTTGTATAACTCAGAAAAGCTATAATATTTCCCTGCAGTGAGATTTTGTAAGGCTATACCCTGAGATGTTTAACAGGAGCTATCTCTGCTTGGTTATAGTAATGTGTTCTTTTCAGTCTTTTTCCTTACTTGGTCTTCATATGTTGTTTTTTT